GTAAACTCTCTCTCTTCAGTAGAGGTGTGATTAATCAGATTCGATAATAGTTTAGAACTTTCTAATTGTAGTCTGGATGGAGATGTTAATCTCATTTGTAACTCTATTTTGTAATTCCCGTTCGTTATGTCATTAAATTTTGTTGTTTAGTTAAATGGTTTTGCGTGGAACTATTTTAGAAGTCGGCCGCTCTATCGATGGCTTCGCGAACTATAGACCTTCCGTAAGGAATATAATTCGCATCACGGGCTAAACGCGTAAAATTAATTTCAAAGTTTTCTGTAGTGAAATAATCTGAATAAAATGTGACGAGGAGGAAGGAAGGATTTAAAAAATGTGGCCTAATTTAGAGATATTCGTTAATTGAATTTTACTTTCTTTAATTCTTTTTGACTCTATGCCCATACTTTTATTGATTTTTATTACACCCTTGTCTACTTTAAACATTGTTTATTAATAGGACTTTATTTTGTTTATTTTTAAATTTTAGTTGAGAGAAAAAACATTAAAGAAAATTGACAACGAATATCGGAATTTAAATTCTGAAGTTGAACAAGTGATGAAGGTTAGTCATAAATTATTACACATTAATAGAAATTTGGGGATATTTTCTTGCAGCGTAAATAATATAATTTATGTTTACTCGTCAATTAGATATTATTTAAATTTATATAACAATGCAAATTATACAACAGATAATAAATATATAAGAACGAGAATCTTATATATAAACATTCGTCATTTTACTATCTCATGAAAATTTTATTGATTATATACAATTTTACATTTGTAAGAAGAAGATTTTCGGCTATAACTATTATAAAGAAAAAATATTAATTCAGGTCAGCAAAGAACTTTAAATGACAATAAGGGGTTAATATATGACAAGTGAGAACTTTCCATTTGTCACACTATTTTTATTTGTATTATTACTTTCCCGGCTCTGTTTTATATAAGAGAAAGTATGGCGATCGGTCAAAGAATGATCCCCGCCCAAGATTTTTACATTTTTGAACTCGGGACCTATAAACGTCGAGAAATGCGAAAAAGTTCGGATTTTTCTGTATGTATGGATAGTTGTTAGTGTGTGGGTGGCACGATTTTGTTCATCCTGTTTGAAGCTTAATAACTCCTGTGCTTTTTGTCAAAAATTTCTGAAATTTTGCAGGGAGTTTCTGTATTAGGGAATTAATGCTATTTAAGGGATGGGGAGATAAACAGGTTCGTGTGTCATATCTTGAATATGGTCGGACTTAATGACGATTTTACTCGTTATTAACATTTACAATTTTTTTTAATGAAACCATCCTTCCCTCAAAATTAAGCTTTTTGCCATTTTATATTTAAAAATATAAGTTTTTTAAATGAAATACAATAACAGATGGCGCCACACGCAATTTTAAATGTTGCCAGGAAAGTTAAGCAACTCGTTGCTGGATTTTTTTTACTATTTTTATCATTGTTGAGCATTCTATTTTATACCCATTCATGTACAGGTATCACTTGATTAACGTGGTTAATTAAACAAATGACCGTCAAAATCCGGAAGAGCCAGTCTCGAGACAGAAAAAAGTGCCATTGAATCTTATTCATTGATAAATAAATTTTAAACAATGTCATGAATTTAGAGTTTATTGTCAACAGGAAATACGAGAAACATAATCACGAGTATTTGTAAATGAGGTAAGCGGCAGTTGTAACGTCAATATACTGAATGTGTATAAGTTGAAGCCTGGAGATTGGGTAAAATTGATCTTTACTAGTGTTCCGCATTCTTGCATTACATCAATAGAATCGTTGTTAATTAATTATCTAATTTTTTATTATGTTATAGTATATAACCTTTATTAATATCTTGATTAATTACTAGTATTTAACCTGTTGTTCACGAAGGTTTTTGTTGTTATTGTTGATCATTAGAATTTCTCCTTATTGTTATTATCCTTGCTATAATTATTATTATTATTGTAACACCAATTTTTTAACTAGTCATCCACAAAGCGGTCAGATCCGCCCCCTGAGGAACCTGGGGATACAGCACTGGTTGCTAGTTCCCAATGCTGTGCCCTCACATTATTATAAAAAGTGGAGACCAAAGACAAAGGCCTATATCAAATTATATGGTGGACATGCTTTAATTTAATATATGGCTTCAATAATTATGAAAACTTTGAAATAATTACGAATGTATTACGTGGGACGTTCTCTAAAAATTGAGAGAAGTAATCAGAGATCTCATTGGCTTATTATTTGCAAGATTTTATGCTGAGTTTCTTTTTATTTCGCAAATTCTGTAGAGTACGAATAACATTTTTAATGAAATCAGTTGTAACTTGGAAAATGTTCTTAAAATGGCGAATATTAAGAAACTTAGAAAAATCTTATAATGTTTTTGTGTTTTCCTTGCATTTAAGTTTTTATCCATTCATTTTATAGAATAATTGTAGAAATATAAATGTTTTTTTTTTCACTTTAATAAGTACTAAAAATCAGTCGGAAACAACTATTCAATACGGAATATAGTTAAAGAAAAAGAAAATTAAAAAATTAGTTCATTAAAATTACTACTTTTTACCAAATAACCGAACACACGAGCTTGTGTTTTTAAGCTGAAATAATAACTCATCAAAAGTAGTAGTTTTTTTCTGTTAAAATATAGTATGAAAAAGGAATTCCATATATTCTTAGAAAAATTCGTCTTGAAAGATTACTAAAGACTCTCGATGAATAACGATAGCGACTATCATGTCTCACCTATGAAGGAATTTCATAATTGGATAAACGTTTTCTATTTTGTTTGATACATTTAATAAGTTTAACGGGCACAATAGCTTTGGTTTAGACAGTTTTTTCTTATTTTGGGTTTTATCATACAAAATGATAAATATTTGTCAATACGAAATCAAATTAACTTGGTTAAGAATACTTCTTATCGTAGGAAACTCTGCCGCAGTACAGACCAACTCGATAGAGAAGCCAGCTTTACAGGCGCTTTGCAATTAAACATACAGTAACTGGTAGAATTCCGATTAGAAAAATTATCACGTAACTTTCCGTAGATCATAAAATGTTTTTTGAAAGCATTGAACCTGTGGCAGATTTACTTGAATCCAGAAATTGTTCAAAGTGCAGAACGCGAAACCTCTAAATATCAGATAAATATTGTAAGTTTACAAATACAGGAAAATGGAAAACCCAGAAATGATTTTAGTAGCGTGATTATAAGCAGCGTGTTTTATTTGTGATTTGGACTTTAAATACGTTCTAAATTATTTATATTTTAAACTTTGTCATAATAAATAGAATTCGATTCATTCGTTCAATTAATTAAATATGTGATTTTAGAATACAACAGCGAAAATATCTGCCATTTCTTTTCTTGCATTATAATTGGATATTTATTGAATATTTGAACAGAAACAAAACAGCTTTTCAATACGTTCGAATATTAAACGTAAATTCGAACAAAACAAATAAAAAAAATCAACTGTTACATGCTACTCTATAGAAATATTCTAAAATACTCTCACACACGCAAACTCGCTATCAAAATAGTCATTGGCATGCAAATTTAAGTAACAACCGCATAATTTTCGCTTTATTTTAATCGTTGTTTAAAAATATCCCCAGTTTCAGCAATATTATTTACTAGAATCGATTTATTTTTAATTCCATTAAACTTCAAATTTAATGTTTTTAAGATGTTATTTGATATCTCTGCTAGAAGTATTCGTCAAAAGGTATGTATAACAATAAAGCTAATTGAAACTTTAATATCTTATATTTTAACCTAAAAACTTACCTTTTCAGAATTAAACTTGACTACGAAAAACTGTAAGAAAACAAATTATAATAAAATAAATAAACTGTTTATATTGCTATTAAATAATGTATGCACGATAAAAATGAATACAACATAATAAACATTCCCCAGCAAAATAACATTTAATTGCCAAATTGATTTACAACACAGTTGTCAATCATAACCATCAAATTGAGTTAAATGTTTCATTTACATCTATTATCTCCTATACAATTTCTTGTCATTCTCTTTGAACTATTACAAATACTTCCTACATAATCCACTGGACTTCATGATCACATCAGTGGAAGATTATTCTAATAAAATTATCATCAATATTACTCTACGAGGCAAAGATGATGATAAATTTAATTTTGTGCCTTGGGATACAGATTTATATAACACTATTGTGCTCGACTAAATTCTGGTCTTTATTATATATGTATACAGAATTTTAAACATTAATTTTTACAGTTTTCACATCTCGTAATCACTACACATAAACGTACAAATCACGAATCACGACATTATTGGATTAATTATGAACAAGCCCATTATAACTTCCGTTCGCTTTCCTCGACAAATTTATCGACTTTGCCAATTTTCTTTTTATTTATTTAGAAAATAATTACCTCCTAAAATATATTTGAGGAACCTGAAGTTGAACTATTTCGGAAGTTAATATCTGGGACTTTTATTGAGATCATATGTGAAGCTGTTTACTTAAGCATGGTTTGCTTGATATATCCCTAAATTCCCCCCAAAAAGCACTATCTACATTAAAAAATTTAATTAAATTTTTTATATATAACATTAAAAACAATTCCTTCTTCACTAAAAGTATCTTTACATTATGGAAAATTAATCTTCTATATACTATATCAATAGTGTGACTATCCAGAAAGAATTCGAAATGTAATTGGACCCGCACTCCAATACATTATTATAGTCACACTATCATATAGTATTTACAGTATAGATATGTATAACTTGCTCATAATATAAAGTATTGATACAAGCGACTACATTAAATTTGATAACGCGAATTCTTTAAACTGTACAAAGCATGGCACGGTGGAAGAATAAAATCACGGTCAATGGAGACAGCGAAAATCTGTATATATATATATATATATATATTTCTTTTTAATTTCAGTGAGTTCAGCCAGCTGTCAATGTAGTCACNAAAGTATTGCTGATGGTGAGAACGGCGAAAAGAAGGACAAATACAAAGTTTTTAGCTTTGTTAATAGTCGAATTTATATTTTTTATGTATTAAATCATCTTTATATTCTTCCCTTTCTCAACTGGCTTTCTGTCAAATAAAGTTACATATTCTTTTGTTCTCTCTTCTTCTTTGTTCACATAAGCAGTTCTATGGTTCAAGTTTACTACCTCAAATGCATGATTCAAGAGGCAAATTGAATCTTATAAACTCAGCAAAAGTCAATTGAAATTAACTAATATTTTGGGTTTCTAGATATGCCAATCTACACTATACAATAATAGTTTATGTGCAATACATGAAACAACATAACAATTTTACTGTATTTCTCAAAACAAATAGGAGTTTTGAAAATATAACTAAGTTAAAAATACTTTTTATAAAATAAATTTCTACAATTTTGTAATTACTAAGTTTATAAAAATTAATATTGTGTTTAATTTGACCTACTTGGTATAAAGGTTCCTACTGCTAATCCTATCCCTTTATCTGCCTGTTCACCATCTTTATAAATACTCCATGCTCCAGTTGGTGAAGACCAAGTTACACATATGTGATGCCATTTACCGTCATTAGCAGTCACATCTGTCACCACTTCTTGCATATTTATATAAAATACAAATCTAAAATATACATTTAAACATTCTAAAACTATTACAGTCTAACATTATATAAATAATACTAATAATATCTTCAGAAAATATACCCATTGTAATCGGTAAGAGTGAAAAGATTATCAACTGTTTCATTAGCATAAGAGAGGGGAGTTCCATAGTTATGCTTGTCAACTGTGGTCATCCAAAGGCACACTGTAACATGATCCAAAGGATGTTGAAAACCTTCTAGTTGAAGAAAATCTAATGTTCCAGATGATGGAAACACAAGAAAAAAATCCTGGGACAATTCTGAAAAGCATTATATAAATTCACGATATACAGTATATTGAGAAAAAATAAAATTTTGCAGTTAGCAACTCTATGGTACAAGGAGTAAATTATTATTTTCCAATAATTCAATAAATTTTTAAATTAACAATATATTTTAAAAATGAGTGCATTTCTTCATATTATAAGTGTTAAAAATTCATTTAAATTCACAAGATTTTAAAATATTTTAGTTACAATACATCTAAAATATTTTTAAAAATACTTTGTAATAAAAATATGTCAGAATAAACAGATATTGAAAAAAAAGAAACATTTGAAATTGGGGAAAATTAACTGATTTTTAACAATGTATCCCAATAGTGAAAACAGGAAGGTATGTAACATAAGTTTCCAAGCTTAATTTCAGTCATTTTTCAAATATAACTATAATACATATTCATGCAACTAGCCACCAATGTTATTTGTGCCCATTGTAGCAAAAATATATTTAAACTTTTTGCCACAATAAAATATTTTTTATTGCTTCATTAAACGAAAAGAAGTATTTAAACTTACCAGTTTCACAGAGATCTCCCGTAAACGAAGGAGCACAAAGACAAGTAAAATGGGCAATTTGGTCAAAACATGTAGCACCATTCATGCAAGGTTCTGACTGGCATTCATTTACATCATCTTCACATAATCTTCCTCTGAATCCAGGTAAACACTGGCAACTACAATAAAAATCTTTTATAAGAATGATTCTGTAGAAATTTTTACAGGAAAGTAACATTTATATTATAATCAACCTACATAAATTCTTCAATTCCATCAATACATGTAGCATTGTTTTGGCAAAAGTCATCCGCACAGTCGTCAATGTTAGTTTCGCAGTTACGTCCTGTGAAACCTCGTATACAGTGGCACGTATAGTTGGCAATTAAATCTTGGCAAGTTGCACCATTTTGACAAGGATTACTGAGACAATCGTCAATGTTATATTGACACACTGGGCCTAAAAATAAACAATAATAATTCATTGTTTAAAACACGTTTTTTATGAATATTCATTTTAAAAATTAGATAATCTTTGCAATTTGAATTCTAATTAAAGTAAACAATTATGTATCCACACAAAAAATTAATTTTTTAGTTTTAAAACTGCATTGTTTAGAGTAATAATACCTTTAAAGTATTAGAAAATAATCTTAAAATAATTAAAAGTTTTTAAGAAATGTGCATTGACATGCTTTTGATCATGTGAAAATACAGCTATCATGTCTATCATGGTTCAAACAGCTCCATAATGGGCCTGGCTGAACCTGTGAAGACTCATTACAAGTGGCTAGATAGTTAGAAAATGACTATCTGGACAAAACCATCCAAAAAATTTCTGAGTAGCTGCTCCAGGCTTAAATTTGAGTCCTCCTGAGAGATAGCTGAATGGTGAAAGAGTCAACTTATACAAAGAATTAATAAAAATTATTTACTTTTTTTTAGAAACGTGTATAAATTGTAAAATAGATGGCAAGTTATTGTTAAGTTTTCTTTTTATAAAGGAATTTATCATCTTTTGTTCTTAAAAATCTGTATAATAAAAAGGAATTAATAATTCTGACATACAAATACTTCGTAGAAAGATACCTGTTTGTAAAATTGTATTAATTATTTTTCTTTCCTAAACTGATTCCTGGACACAGTGCCGGCCTTTTAGGCAAGACAAGTAAAATAGCCACCCAGGCCAGAGATTTTTTACATTTCCGGAGGCTTCATCTGAGTTACAAAATACCCATTTTGCGTAGTAAAGTTAAAAATTTCAGTTTGATTATATATATCTATATATATATATATAATATAATAATACTCTTTTTAACATTTCATTATAAAAGACCTTCATTGTTTTCTTGTCTAGAACCCAACGGGACATAAGGCCGGCCCTGTCTGGACAGATACCAGAACTCACTGGGCTATATTTAAAAATTAAAAAAAATACTGTTTATGATCCTTGTCGAAAAACTACTACAATCTAATAATAGGAATTTAGTGATTTCAATAATTATAATAATTAATAATAATAATACTCATATCCAGTGCAAAATAGAATTATTACAAAGTTATGTGAACACACTTCAGTTAATATGTTTTTGTTTTCTTTCATAAATAAACAATTATTATAATTACTAAGACAGCACCATTCATTCAATCTACAACAAAGCTTGATATGTATATATATAGAACACTATAAAAGTGGACTTGCTGGGCCTTAGTGTCAATAACAACAATAAACATGCACACATGCACATTCACACGTAATACACATATTTAAATAATTTTTGGATTTGTTGACACCACTTGTGTAGACGTACAATTCTTTTTTTATATAACACTTTTAGTTTTCCTTTTTTACAATAATGATTTCAATAGATCATTCTATGTACTTTTTGTTTTAACTAGTTTTAATTATCGTTACCGTCAGTGGGATCTTTGAGAGAATGCCACTGAGCAATCGGCCGTCTGGGTGATGCCAGCATGTCCATCCAATGGCGTAATTCTGTTCCCGCAGCATTGCAACCCAAAACAACTTTTCCGATAGGTTCAGATGTACCAATTCGGTCGTAGTCAACCACTGTAACTACGAGATGTACTTTCTACACGAGAAATAAATTTTACGCAATATAATACAGAATAATATATAATACATAGACGGAGTATCGGATTATTCAACAGAATTATTTTTCTAAAGTAAAAAATAACTAAATACCTGTATTTGCTCGAATGGTACTTCAAATGTGAACGATTCATTATAGTAAGGATTTAGTGTGCATTTCTTGATACTTGTTTTCTTTTTCTTAACCCTTTTTCCGTTCATCATCAGAGCAATTTTAACATATGGATCTAAAAACAAATTCTAAATCAAATTTCCTATCTTTCATTAATTAAGTGAATAAACTTTTACATACAATATTTTTTAAGAGAATAAAAAAAACTTCTAATTTGAGCTTTATTCTTCAATGATGGTCAAATTAAAATTCTAATAATACGTATAAATTATGGTATTAATCTAGTGTTGTAATAAAATAATAATGAATAAATTGCATTTACATTTAAAATATAAAAATTAATAAACTACACTTATACATATTAAAATTGTTATCATTAAACAGTTTTAATTTTTTGAATAAAAATAAAATGCTGGAAATTGTAAACGTATACAGGCTGTAGATAAAAATATTACATCATATGTAGACTATTACTTCTACCTACTGTATTTTTGCGGATTGTCCGGCATGTCGGTCTATCCGGAGAGACCATAAAATCACATATTTCCGTATGGTAAAAACCGGCATGCCGGTTTAAGTGAGGTTATACATCCCTCTCTAGAAGACTTATTTTAAAAAAAATGAACGAGTTTTTATTCTAAAACTATGAAACTGTCAGCATTTTATCAAAAACTACAATTACAGTATATGTTTAATTTCTCCATTTTGTCTTCTTTCGGACGACGTAAAATATTCGTGGAATTACAAAAGTGCTTTTTTAATGTTATTGTATTGTTAATTAAATCAAAAACGCAAAAATAAACATATTAAATTTAAGAAACTTGCTGTAAATTATCTCAGCTTACACCATTAACATCAGCTTTGTGTAACATTTGAGGAAGGTGTTATTTTTAAGGTCAGGGTAGCCCACACTAACTACTACTAATAATAATGTTAATAAGTCAAGTCAATAAGTCGCCGGCGTAAAAAGTTAATTAATTATTTTATTGTCTTGTAAACAAAAACTCTATCTGATTTTAAATCAGGAAGAGAGTTTTTGTTTATGTTTTCTTTAACGTTTAATTAACAACTAGTTTTGTTAGATCTAATTAATTTTATATTTTAGTCGCAGTTTAACCGGCATGCTGGTCTCCCCTTTTATATGCGAAAATACCGCATTAGCTAAATACAAGTGTGCGAGAATCAAGTAATCAGTAACGGGTTATTCGATGATGTAGTCGTCATTCGTAAACCCCTTCTCATGGGCCTAATGCTATCTCGGCTGTTATGAAAGATAGCGGCACAGCTTAAATTACAAAGTCGTAGAGCATCTGAAAAATTAATACAAAACATTTTTGTCTACATTAGGATGCAGAGAGACGAGAATTTCTTGCGACCAGTTCGGTCGTATAGGCAACAATTCTAAGATAGTTAATTAACATTCTTCAGAAAGAGTGCATGTGCCTTGGTCCTCCGAATCTGCCTCGAGCAGTATCTATATTCTCAAAATCCAGAATATGCCACTACAATGAGCTAAAAATTGAAGATGTACAACTAATTAAAAACTTAATTCGGACGTTCGCGGCTAACACTACCACAAAAATATGGCAAGTAGATTTAAAAAAGGTCACCTATTCTAGAATCACTTTTCTTTATCGGTATTAAATGTTGTTGCAATTAATTTTAATGCTTTTTTTTCTTTTTATTTATATTTCTATAACTTATTCTATAATAAAAACTCTAACGGGTTTCCTTCACTAACGTGTGTATGAATAGATATAAAAATTTTTATTTCTGCATCATTCCGTATCTTCTTACCTTCAAAATGTCGAACTCGCACTGTTTAACTCGAAAAATATCGAAACAATCTGGAAATATTTCGAGAAATCGTGCGACTATAGTTATGTTTGTTTAGACAAGCAAGTACAAATGTCGCGCTAGGACTTCCGGATGTTCCGGTAAGTCGAATTACGAACTGTTCACATTAACGACAGTAGTGTCGGACAGCAACTGGTGCGAATTTACTCGCTAGTCTAAATGCACTCTTACACAGCTGAGTGCGCGAGGCAGCGCTCTCAAGGCAACCGACCAACCCATCAATTAAATTATCGTTTACGAAAATTCGAAATGGTAAACAGTCCGATGTTTTAAAATTCATTATTAAAGGTCTCTTGACGATGGCCTATAAACTAGGCCGAAAACGTTTGAGTTTGAAATTATATCGCTGTTTAAGCTGGTGGTTTATTCTTCAAAATTAAATTACAGCATAGCTAGCGTATATTGTCATTTAATATTAAAAAATATTGTATTAAGACAAAAATTTTAAATTTTTGATATTATCAGTTCGAGTTATTCAAACAAAATTTCAAGTAGTTTATTCTATAGGCTATTGACGAATATTAACTGCAAGTTTACATAAATATAAGAATATTAAATGTTAAAACAGAGTAAGGACTTTTCTATGATATACAAACCTGAAAGTCCCCCAACGTCCATCTTTTTCAAATTTTTTGCTTCTAATATAACAACAGTTAGCTTTCCAGCTGTTGGCACGTACCGCAAAGAAAAGCATATATCTCCAAGCTTGTTTTCCTGAATTTGATTACAACAACAAAATTATATTTCCAAATGTTTTGATAAATTTTACATATGAGAAATAAACATCTAAATGTATTTTTAGCATATTAATAAATCAATTCTATAATAAGCAAGATATTTTTCTCAGAATTTGCATTGGATTTCTATAAACTGTATAAATGTAAGAAAAGTTGTTTAAGTTTAGAAACAACAATTAACATAAGTCAATTTATTTTAGACTTTAAAATTCGAAACATTTTAATATTCTCCAAAGCAAGTCTTGAGATATATATAGAGTATGATAAATAAAAGACATACAGAATTTGTTGCTGTTTCATGAGTTAAATTAAAATTCAATTTCTAACAAATTATAAATTAAAATGATAGTTATTGTTAATATTGATATTTTATTCCTATAATTTTAAAACAGTAAATTAATATCTTAATGAAATGAATTATTAATACTTTCCACAAAGATATTTTTTTTAATTTTTAATTTTTTTTTACTGGAATTTTATACTTGAGCACTTAATTTTTAATTAATTTAAAATTTAACTAAGAATCAATTCATTTAATCTGAAAGAAAAACAGATTATTTTTTAAAAAATGTGATTAATTTATTAATTTTACAGGAGTGAAAAATGCTAAATAATTGAAATTTGGATTTTTTTAATATTTAATAAAAAATTATATAAGGTCTATCACAAAATTTCAAATAAATCTAATCTTACTTATAGCATATAAGTTTTAAATTGAATATCTCTGAGAAGAAAAATAAAAATATTAAATGTATGTATCTTACTAAAATTTTCTACGGAATATTAACTTAATTTTTTTATTTCTAACTTAATAGCTACAAAAAATATATTATCCAAATAATAAATATATTTAAAATTGCAAGTTTTATTTTTATATTATATTAGTATTTAAAACCAATATGCAAGATGTATAAGATTCATAGTTTTTTTATTTATATTTTAAATAAGCTGAACAATGGTCTTGATTTTTGAATAGTAAATATGTTATGTAACATTAATCTAATGTAACAAAATTTAAATAAATATCCTTGTTATTTTTAATACCCCCTGTAACAAGATTATCTTATTACAATAAAATGATTGAATATATTAGTATTTAAAGACATTACTACTGATTAGAAATCAGAAGCATTCATATTTATAAAACAAAGTATTAATGCATTGCAACAAGCGGAATGCTGACCTCTTCGAATGAAATTTGCGAGTCTCATTTAGCATTTATATATGCGTAAAATCAATAAAGAAAAACAAAGCACAACTGTTTATTAGAAAGTTTGCATGTATCAAGTAATTGAATTAGATAATTTATTACGGGTTTTATATTAAAATATTAATTTTCATATAATGCTTAAGATTAATTCTAGCTTTTACTTTAACATGATTTTGTTCTTAAACTTCAATTACGCTCTTTAATATCATTATTAATTAATTAATTGTTGAGCCAATTAACACCAAAATATAAATTTTTATAAATCAACAGCCACAGCAAATCTAAAAACAAATAGCAGAATGTAGCCATTATATGCCAACGATAAATCGATAAATAATTAGTAATAAATAAAAGTGCATTGCTAATTAGCAAAATAATTTGAAAAAAAATCGATTTATTCAAATATTATACCTGTATATTTTTATTTATCCTAACTTTGTAAAATCACACGTTAAAAATAGACCTAATTTAATGAAGTTGCTTATCACGGTATTAATCGAATCGTATGGATTCAATACATAATTTTGTGTAAATGTTAAATGTTAATGTGAATTCATGTATACGATATTTTATGACATATTCAAACACTCTTACTCAATTCGAATTCTAATACAATATTTTAAAATTTTTCTAAAAATAAAAATTTTAGAATGTTTATGAAATCATTACAAATTATCTACAATAACAATACAGAATAGAATTAAATAATAAATATATACAGATATGTTTTATTCTTATCAGAATTCAGGAAAATATATATTACGAGTACATGTATAAATAAATAAAAATATACAATACACACAATCACTTATAGCCTACATTAAATGCTATCATTGATCACGTTATTGATGCGAAGAATGTCCGGAAAATTTTATTTCGTTATTTCATATCAATAACGATGACCATTCAAAGCAATGAAATAGAAAAAAATTCTCGGACAACGTATATTATTCAATTTAATATCATCGTACCATGTTTTGTATGTGAAGTTTTTTTATAAATGATTATTACTTTAAAAGTTATAACGCATCTATGGATATTACAACTTCTACTGTAAAATAACTTCGTTTATATGATAAACTATACAGGAATAGGCTTATATAAATGTTTTAACAAGTTATATTTGATAAGCAAACTAAATTTTGTTCTTAATTTGTTTATCCAGTAAATACGTTTGTATAAACTTGAAAATGGCTACCAATTCATAAAATATCTTTATTATTATTTTAATAACTTTCCTCGTGTTTATTATTCAAACAATAAAAGTAAATTTATCATTCTTTCTAGTTTTTTCATTAATTTTATTCGTAGCATATTATGTACCATACCTATAATTATAAAATAAAAAATACAATTTTATTGCTGAAACTGGATTCCTTAAATTAAGACCTCATTAAAAATATCTATAAAATTAATCTAAAAATCAATTTTATTAAAATGAAATTTGTTAATAAAAATTGTTAAATTTTATTCAATCCATCAATTCTACTTATTTTAAATGATTTTCAAAACCTTTTTGGGCATTTGTAAACATACAATTGTTTTATGATAAAATTCTCCCCTCAAATTCCTAATCATCATCTAATCACTTGTCTTATTAACATTTTTTATCTAATTATGTATCAGACATTTTCACCAAAATTTATTTAAAAGAAAATCATTCTTGCAATTTTTTTATAAAAATTTCGTTACCATTAAATGTAGCCTACATAATTATAAGCAGTTAATCTTTCTCTTTTCTTTTACTTCAAATAAATTCAATGATTCGTTTAATTTCTGATATTTACTTTAATTCTGTTTATAAAATATTTTCCTATAATTTATAAATCTAAATTTTAGTCTAACTTCCTTAATTTATTAAAGAAAAGTTTATAAAAATTTAAAAATGAAAATAGTCAATTTATTTTATAATTTTGTTTCTACAGGTGTAAATATTTAAAAAATTTTATTTACTAATGTACTATATGACAAATTTACTCTGTTCAACTGCACACAATTCAATATATAAAGTGAGAAGAATCTACTGTTTTATTGAATTAAATTATAATTTTGCTTAAGTATATCTTGCTATATAGAGGTGAGACGTGACACTGACAAAGCGAGAAATGCAAGCGCACAGGTCTCAGAGATGAAATTTCTAAGGCATATAAAAGGAAATACATTACTCGGTAAAATAAAAAAAATAAAATAAAAAGAAGCAAGAAAGAATTAAATATTTTTTCAATAAATTACTGAAATATAGAATAAATGGAAAGAACATGAAGAGAGAATGCACGAAGAGCGATTCCCAAAGAAGACAATTCAAGTACTACCTATTCATAAGAGAGAATAAAGGAAGACCACGTAAGCATTCAATAAAGGAATTTGAACAGAAACGGGTACTTTGGTTAATCCATGAAAGAAAAAGAATTTTACGAAATAAAAATGTGAAAAAGATTACATTAAACTATTCAATTAAATGTCCTATATAGGATTTTTTTACAGATAGATAATTTAAGTACTTTAACTCAATAAATAAAATAAATTCGTATATTTCGATTTTATTCCATCAAATTTTAATATAATACTATTACAAAATAAAATAATCGTAAATCGATTTCAAAAATCAAATATACGAAAATAAAAACAATTTCGCAAAATTTTTCTAGAAATTTAAAAGCAAAATTTAATAACTTATATTATCATGGCAATGCATAATTTGTTCCACATTCATATATATATATATATATATATTATTATTAACAGAGCCGTAACTAGGCAGGTGCAACAGGTGCATTCGCACAGGGCCCACTTGGAAGGGGGGGGCCCAAACTGCTGTTCACAAGAAATTATAGTTTTAAATCTTAAATTTTTCCTCCTTTTTACTGGCGATTACATTTTGCCTTATTTTTAGACCCTAGATGTCTGCTCACCAGTGTTCCCAACCGTGGCGACTTTTAGAGGGACGTAGTGAGATAGCGGAGACCGCAGAAAATCAGCCAAAAGTAGCAACTTTTGAAATTTTGTTTGTTTATTTTATGAGAAATTTAAATTTATAGATTTTTTTTTCTCTACTTTATAGAGCTCTCTGGAAACGACTAATATTATTATGATATACAAAACTGTATTTCTAGATTTTTCTACAGTGTGCAGAGCTAAAAATCTGTAAAGGTAACATTTTGTAAGAAAAATAAATCTGCCCGGGGATTTTTTTAAGTGATAAATTGCTAAATAGAAGACGTGGTAACTCTCGAATAAAATCTTAGTCTCGAGGTTGTAAAAGGCGTGCAGAAATTCTGACATAACTTTTTGCTTTGTAGTGGTACGCATGTGTTGTATACCTCAACGACGGATTAAGTGGTAAGCGAACTATGCGGCCGAGTAGGGCCTCGAAGGGGCCCCCCGAGGCTACTGAAAAAGGCTGATTTTTGCTTTCTCTATGGCTCTTCTTTACAATATATGAGTGTTGCTGATTTAAAAAAAATCAGCTGCAGATCTCGCTATTAAATATAGCAAAGATTTAAAAAAGTACGAATTCACAAGTGAAATTGAAAGTTTTAAGTTTGAAGTAACGACTCTTATACAAAATATAGAAACTGCATCTCCGCTTAATATTCTACAGGCTCTTCATGATTTTGGTTTGAATCTTACCCAAATATCAATGTCGCTCTTCAAAATATTTCTAACTCTTCCCGTTTCTATTGCTTCGTGCGAGAGAAGTTTTAGCAAGTTAAAATTAATAAAAAATTATTTATGATCAACTATCGGGCAAGAACGATTGTCCAATA